TATGCGTGTTAATGCACTTATCTATACATCATATATTTCGCCCTCTTTCGTTCCTTCCTCTCCATTGAATTAAATCTGTAACGTATCAATTTTTTTTCTTTCCTTCCTATACACATATGTAAGATACATATATGTATCTCGTTCCATCTTTTGCTCCTTCCATCTTATTGATCGAAAGAAATGAACTAATGAAATTTTTTTCCTTTCCTGTCGATAAATATATCGATGAATAATACGAGAACGAAGATAGCGATAAACAAAAAAATGCTTTTTTTTCTGTCTCTTGTCGTCTTCATGAAAATAAGACCTTATTGATCAATAATTTCTTTTTCTCGTCCTTCATATACAATTTCTTGAAGAAAAGAAAAGAAAATATTAGAATGTTGTTGATTTACTATCATCTCAACTATTTCAAATTAAACAAAAATATACAAAACTGGAAAGATCTAAATTAAGATCTAAAGCATAGAAAAGAAGATTTAGGAAAATATCTCAAATTTAACTATAAGAAAAATAGAATTTATTAATGTTTACTTTTGTGTGTTGGGTACAAAAACAAAAACTTTTGTAATGAAGCTTGAACTAAAATCTGGATTTCCCCTTTCGGAGGGAATCCTAGTGTGGAATCAAGCTCAAAAGGTGTCCATTCGATAGAGCTCGACGAGTCCTATCTGTCTGTGTCATTTTCACCTCTTGGTCCCACGGATTAGTGAATCCTTACATGTTTTACAAAGAAACCCGGTTTTACAGCTTAATTAGCATTTTTGGAAGGGATCCCAGCATGCCCATTAGCTAAAAAGGTATCCATTCGGTAGAGCTCATCGAGTTCTATCGACTGGTGTCATTTTCACCTCTTGGTCCCACGGATTAGCGAATCCTTACATCTTTTACAAAAAAACTACGATTTTTTTGGCTTTTTTTGCAGTATTTCAGGTTTTTCTCCAGGTAGGAAAAGTGGTGGAGAAAAAGTAAATAGTGCATTGGATAGAGCTCGTCGAGTTCTATCTTGGTCCACCTGCTTTATTTCTTGGTCCCACGTATTAACGAATCCTTACAAGAAATACTCGAATCCCGCTCCAAGATATCCTACGTGTTTAATGTTTCTTTAGAATGTTTCGACTGAATAGATCTAGATTATTCTTATTCTCTATTGATATGAAAAAATAGTCCGCGGTCGTATATACGTATATATATATGCAGCTACTAAAATAGCATTTTTATCACTTTTCATTTAGATTTTTATTTTTCATTTGCTGTATTAAGTAAGAAAAGATAAGAACAATGCTTTATTTAGCTTTGAACCCTTTAGTATTGTATTTTTAATTATGTAATATGGATCTTCTGTTTAGATAAAATTCTGCATATTTTCTTCGATACAAATAGAAAATATATTTTATTTTCATCATTTTCATTGCTTCGCGATTTATTCACTAATATTTAATTGGTTATGAAGCGATCTGCCTCCTCTATAAGTAAAAATCGAGATGTTACTACATCTCGAATAAAGCGTAGTCGATTAGCTACGCCATCGGAGCAAGAGGAGGATGTTTTCGAAGCTGATAATGATGTTGAAAATTCGTATGGAAAAGAAAATATGATCACAAGCATGCCAAAATGTGTTAAGGAAAATTTAACTCAAAATAATGTTAATTCTGGTGATAGTAATCCTACTGCTGTTGATCGAACACCACTTCGATCGACGATTTCTTTTTGTTCCTCATCATCGAAAGATGTTGCGTCATTGACGAAGTAAAACTCCCAAAAAGGGTCTAATCTGAATCGAGGACTACAATTACAAAACAAGAATCAGCGACCAATGAATCGTGACGTGAATGATTCTGCGCTTTCTCAAATTAGGTTCGATGCTTTTGTATAATTAATAATGGAAGAATGCATTTATTTTCGTATAGTTTTAGTTCAAAAAAAATCTACCACATCAACAAGTACAGAAGTGTGTATATTTATTGTGCTTTTTCTAAAATTTTCTACTGATCACTTTAGTTCAACAAGTATTCGCACAACTACTGATTGTAATCCCAATGAACATCATTCTAATTCACAGTCAGTATTTCACTTGTGAGCAGAATCATCAACTTCTTCTTTCTTATAGAACCTTGCCGCGTCTATCATCAAAAAACCAAATCACCAATCGGCTAAGGCAAAACATCACTTATCTTCTTTTTATATATTTTAATTTATATTGTAATTTTTAAGTAGCTTTACACAAGGTCAATCGGATAACAGTCTTTTTAGACCTAATCGACTGTCATCATTAGTGGATCGAAATTCATCAATAACAAATAAACCTACGCCATCGGCCTATGTTGAAGGTTCTCTTGAGTATCGAGAGTTAAAGAGATCGTATTTATTTGAGAAAAAACAAGCTTCAGAGTGGAAAAAAGATTATGCGGTATTGAAGCACCAGTTGAATGAACTTAAATCGACCACTCTACGTATGTTTAATATATTTTTTCGTTGAGTGGACAATAGCACTATATCTCAGGGTAGTAATTTGATGATCACTAGTGTTTTTAATGAAATTTTAACCTTTCATATGCACTGACACAGCTTGATTTCTAGTAAAACGAGATATTTTATTTTTAAACAAAAATCATAAGCGCTTATTGTATTTCACTTTTCACGACAAAATAATTAAATAATACTTTATTCTGCTCAGATATTTTAAAATGATTATGTATCTTCTTTATCCCTGAAATACCTATGGTCGAAATAAAACGATGGATGCAAAAACTATGACAAAATATTGCAATAACTTTTCTCATGTAAAAAAAAGTAAACTAAGAGAAGATTCGACATGATATTATAGTGTAAATTATTGATATCTGATCCTACTGAAGAATAAAATTATACTATCAGCCAGTAACATGCTTTTAGTAGAAGTTTTTAATTTATTATGCATGTATATATTTAATTATAATTTAATTGGAGTACTTAATGTTCTTGTCAATAATGAACATTTCTACAATAGATTGTTTTCAATTTAGCTCGACCAACAGCTGAAGCACTGGACTGGCTGAGAGAACTGTTTGATCTACTCGATAATAATGCTACCTTTAGAGGTGATGGGAGAAGTCTGGATAAAATTGGTGAAGATTTAGGTCTTGATAGTACAAATCTTATCACAGTTGCTGCACGGACACCGCAAAAATCCGCACTTAAGCTGTTTCGTATTTTGTATCCGACAATTGGTAGTCGCGCAAATTGTATCTCTATATCCAACATACCAGATGAAAAATTAACAAATATTTATCGTGAGTCTTCCTATGTTCTATAATATTAGCAAGTAATCGAATTGCTTTTTCTTTAGTTTATGTTCGCGTTTTGCATCAAAATTTAAGCTTTAAAATGAGTGATATGAGAAGAGCAATAGGAACGTCAATTCGTTCTGCAACGCATGAAATGCGTAAGCTGGAACACGAACGACAAGAGCAGTTAAACGAACTAGAAAATGATGAAAATCTTGATCAAGCTGAACGAGAAGACCGAATCAATCATGCGATGGATAATATGGAAATGGCATTGAACGCCAGTGATACTGCGACGTGTGATGAAGAAGATGACGAAAATGAAGACATCGATAAAATGTCAATGGATGAAGAAATCTATGGAGATGATGATGACGACGAACTATAAAGAGATATTATTAAAAGGCATTATCCATGAATATATAGAAGAAATAAATTTTAACTTTTTTAATGTACCGACATCTATTAACTTGTTCAAATCATCTCATCGTTGTTTCTCTTTTTCTTAATGCGCTTGATATCTAAAACACTATCTTTTATATCTCATCAACTGTGTTATGTTTTCAAAGAAATATTTATTCGATTGTAAGATGATGATTTTTTTAACAGTACACATATAAATTAAACAACTTATTCGAATATATATGATTTCGTAGAATAAACTAGTATGTAAAAAATGAGCGTAAAAAAGCAAGAAGCTGCTCAGAAAAATTGATGAATATAGAAAAAAAGTTTTTTTTGAAATCAGTGATAATGTGATAATCTAGTGATATTTGCTTGTTTTCTTCAGACTTCAATGCAAAAAAACTCTCATATTCTTTGGAAAGCTTAAAGACAGAGTAAAACTTACGATTTCTGATTACAATAATGAAACTACAGTTTCATCAATTATCTTAATAGTAACTTAACCAATTGATAATTATTTTTACGATATTCCAGATAATAAAAAATGTTTCATGATGATGAAGTTCCATTACGTTCGGCTAAAAATATTGCTCGTCAATTACGAGATGCTAAAGGTCGTCATTCTCGTAATCAGTTTTTGTCTTCTCTACCTCCTGATGTTTCGAATGATGTGCCGTAAGTTAATAAGTACAGATTAATCTATTTATAATCTTAATTGTTTATAAAGAATGATAGAAGAGTACACAGACGAAACTCGTTATACATATAATGAACAAGATGATCTTATGGTGGTGGACCAAAATGATGAACAATTGGAAAGCAATTCAATCGTCGTCAGTCAAATCGTTGACGATGTATCATTTGACACCAATTCATATTTAGGCAACAGCGAGGATGATAATTCACAAGATATACAATCTAATTTGTTGACCCAGGATATCCCACCATCTTCACCTGATACACGAGAAATTTCAACTGCTCTTGCTTTATTTCGGCATCGACACCGATTATCAAAATCATGCATAAACAATTTATGTGATTTGCTACGCTCGTTTGGTGTTGCTAATGTACCATCGGATTTTCGTTCAATTGAGAAAATTCTTATCAAAAACCAGGAGAACACTTTACAGGGTCGCAAATATATCATTTGTTCGAAATGTGGTAACAAAGGTACTAGTTTATCAAAGTGTGTGGATATAAAATGTGAGAGACATTCTGGTTTTGTGTCAACTCCTACAACACTTTGCACGTTTAAACTTCTTCCGCAAGTAACATCTATTCTTGACCGGCACAACATTATGCCTGAACCAGATATAACCAATACCAACATATCTGATATTCAAGATGGCTATGTACGTCGTAATATTATTTTCCGCGAACGAATGATTGACTCAAAGAAAAATATAGTGACTATGCTGTTAAATAGCGATGGGATAGTCTTAAAGAAGTTTAGCCGTTCGATCTGGTTTACTTGTATGGTGATCAATGAGTTACCTCGTGCAATAAGATTTAATATTGGTAATGTTATAATTTGTTCTATATCTATGGGTGGGAATAAACCGAAAAAGAATCAATTTCAAAGTTTTATAAAAGATTGGGTCCTCGAATTACAACAGCTTGAGTTAGGCTTCCATATTTCTCCTCCAAATTTGCATGGTCATTTTATCAAAGTGCATGCTTATTTGATTGCAGCAGCACTTGATAAGCCTGCACAAGCGTTGTTAATGAATTTAAATGATCCGACCGGTTATTATAGTTGTGTTCGTTGTACTATTCAAGGTAAAGGGTTAGAATATTCATAATTTGGGAAATAATAGAGATTGAGTAGCTATGCTATAAACTTTAAGCATTACTGTTTCATTGGAGTACTCTATAATATTGCAACTAGAATTCTACGAACAGCATCTATTTAGATTAGCTTTATAACAAGACAGTCAATTCATCTCATATATTTCTGAAGACGCGCATAGATAGATTAGATTTAGTTTGTTTGTGGTTTAGGAAAATCTGTACCAACAAAGCATGGAAGTACACGTGTTTTCATAAGAAAAAATAATGACGGTATTCAAGATCGAAGCAATCAACTATATGATCAACATATAATTCAACTACTAAAAGTAAATATAGTTCTTTCCATTAATATAAGAAATGGTTATGTCATGTTCAATTAGAGAAAATCAAAAAATAAACCAAAAGATATAGATCCTGCTTGTGGACAACAGGGTCATTGTCTTTTAAGAAATCTGTCGTATTTCAATATTGGACCAAGTTTCACTTCTGATTCGCTTCATAATTTATATTCGGGAACTTTTGTAAGAATTCATACACCGACTTACATAATTAATATTAATTATTTGCTACTATTATCCTATAGAAACGTTTACTAGAAATATGGTTCAAAAGTCGCGGTAATTCATACTCCATTCATAAACAACTAAATTTGATTGAAGCGAAATTGGACTCAATTAAATATCCTACAACCACATATCATTTACCATCACAACTTAGATTTTATCAAACTTACAAAGGCAACGAATATAGATTGACATTGCTGTTTGGTTATCAGTAAGTTCGTTGATAAGCGACGCGTCTTGTATTCTTTTCCCTCTGATGAGACATACAGCCCTAGTGTGCATTGATGAAAAAGCAGTTCAAGTAGAAAATTCTTTGTTTAGATGATTTATCTTCAGAAAGAAAGCATCACCGAGAAGATATTACTCATTCCGGAATTTTTCAAAACAGGAAGGGACTCACAGTTTTTTCTGTTGTAAAATCTTCTGTCTATAATTCTATAAATATTCCTGCTTTACTAGGAAACAAACGAGAATTTTCTAGAAGTGGAGAGCACAACCCACCATTGCCTTATCCCTCTTGTATGCAGAAGCTTAAAAAATGATGAGTAAACATCATTATATATAGATATTTCAAGTCAATTTTACCTGCACGATGCTACCAACACTTAAAGCTTTTGGCGTTCGCTATGAACTTAGCGGAATCAGCTGTTTTATATAATGATACAATGGAAAAAATCAACTGTTTAATTGATGAATTTGATCGTTTATTTCCATTATTATATCCAGTGAGTATAGTATATTGTTTATATATTTATGTCGCCGAGCAAATTGAAATTCGATTGACATTAGAATCTAATATCTGAACCATATTTTAGCTGGAAACCGTCCTAACTAGATGAGATCGAAATTATTTTAAAGTTAACTGAAAGGACTTCAAGCTAAACTAGTTCATTCAATACATTATCATCTAAATTGATTTTCAAGCTGCCATATGCCATATATATATATATATGTTGTAGGACAGATCAAAATTCAGCTAAGTTTAAAATCTTCTTTGTTTTTCTTTGTTGATATTTTAATCTGAACTGAATTTTAATCTGTCCTACGACATATTATATATACATAATAGCTTATTGCAAGTCTAAATATGTACCATATATTATTGCTACTACTGATTTGAAAGGATCCCTATTGGTAAAGATTTTTGTGAGAAACTGAGCAAACATTCAAACTATTCATTTGTGTTAAAGTCACTTGTATAAGATACGAAGAGATGGCTGCCTGAGTCAAGAGCAAATAAATTATGAAGCATTTTAATGCTTCATCATACTTTTCAGAAAATGTACACTTCCTCAATATATAACTGTGTATCATATAAAAGCCGTGCACAAAGTGGGAAAAGAGCGAGAAAAATTCAAATGGGTCCTGTCTATTTGGCGATGTATCTTTTTTCTCCGGCTATCCTAACCTTCGCAGTTGTCGATGCCGAATTAAGCATTATACTTATGTATGAAAAACACCAGCTTATTTTCTCTAACATTTATTTTCTTATTTGATAATCTGAGATGCGAATTAGAAGCAATAAGAGCCTCATAGATGCCTATCGCCGCTGAAAACCTGCATTTCTGTCCGAGAATCATAAAGGGAAAATGCTTTCGGCTACTATTACTACAGTGACTACTAAAAAATCCTACCGTGCCATTATAATGCAATATGAAGTTTGGCAAAATAGTCGCTGTCGTGATACTGTGACCGAATCAGCACAATAATTCAAAAATTAGTATCATGAAATTACTAAGCAAGAACTCTTGTCAGCAATCTATCAGATTCATTTATTCTCATAGTAGTACAGTCCTGGTCACTGGATCAAAGTCTTCTACTTTTCACATCACGTTTTAATAGCCCAGCTCAATGATTACAGTATTCTGGTTCGCGAATTTTATCGGAGTGATCCACAGAAAACGCGCCTTTCCTGACTGAACAGTGCCGAACAATCAGCGAAATTGGGGCGTACGAATTCGACGCCTGCGCTCCACTGTCAGCTCTGCCGAATTTCATTTAGTTTCGGTGGAAGCTGGATGAAGCTGGTTGCAAAGTGCATTCACAGGAGTCCGGCTTTAGTATTCTTACTATTTTGTATGACATATCGCATGCTTAGAGTAAGAAAATGTCTGAAGATGCTACTAGCATGCCTGAGGTTTCTACGAACACTGTCAAGCATACTAGTAGCAACCGCATGGATACTAGTATTATCATCAGGCATACTTTTGGCTTCACCAGGAATGCTAACAGAAAATTCAGTTATGATTTTAACATTGCCATGCATGGTTTCAGCATCCACAGCAATGCTTCTAGAAGCTCACGCTGTCGGTAGGTGAAGCTGCCACCAGATTCAGTAATTGTAAGCGTAAACCGTTCGCCAACAAAGACTATACTAGTGGTAGCTATTCACAAGGTCTTTGATTCAACTCCTAGTGGTGTGAAACAGGAGCGCTCGCCCGCGTAAAAATAACTTGATATTTGGTAATTTATTGATGATAGTAACTTAGGTGTATATAGCCACTTCCTTTGTCGTTTCTAAAGATAGCCTGTCTCTTTATTATTGATGGGGATGGGACAAAAGTGGCAATGTAAGTGTAGCTGAAAATATCTGAGATACCTTTTGCTTTAAATAGTTTAACGACAAGTGGCATTCTCAGAAATAGTGAAATTATTCATTGACTTCATTTAAAAGAAAAGTTTTTCGAAATTTAATGTACAGTTTTCTTTTTTACCGCATCTATAGTCCTGTTTATCTGTAAAATATGAATCTCTTAAAAAATTTCTTTCAAGGAGAGATCAGTGACATCTGTGATTCACTTTATGGTGCATGTGCCTGAATCACTCAAAGATTTCGGTCCTCTTCAGAATTACTCAACGTTTAATTTTGAGAGTGTTGTAGGTATGGTTCAACGCCATAGATTTTATTCTTTCATTGGAAAAATAACTTCATCTGCATTGCTCTAGGTTCCATTGTTCAATCCGTCAATAGACCAAATTTAATAGTTTCGGAACTAACAAACAATATTAACATTCTGCACGCTGCAACAGCACAGCTTAGTGATGTTAACTTTAGCAAGTCTCTTAGACTATTTATGAACCATCGGTTTTCTTCGAAGCGGCAGGCACTTCCGAAGATAACATCTACAAATGGAAGAACTTCCATTCGCCTAGGTCCTAAGTTTGAGTTACCGAACACTCATATTGTGATGGCTCATTTGAAGAACATCTACTCTGTACCTTTTAAGACTCATGCAACATGTTGGAAAAAAAAGTTCGGTTTTCAGTATATGATCCTAATTCTCATACACACACTTGCGATTCATGTTTAATATTCAAAAGTGGAACAACTGGTACTCAATGTGGTTTTATATTAGCGATTATAGGTGATTCAAAACAAGAATATCGTCTACTCATCAACAAAATGAAAATAATTCAAAGGGATTCTCTTACCTGTAAGAATAAACGTGCCATAAATCCATTCATATTTTCTGGTCAACCAACAGACCCACCTCAATTCGTATTAATACCTGTTGAACACATCATTGCCAAACTTGCTTACAAAAAAGAAGCAAACCAATTTCATTTTTTTCAGTACCCTAACACAGTACAAAGTACATAAAATAAACAGTTGCTTCTACAGCTTCACCATACAGAATTCATGTTCTGACATTCCCACATATAGATTCGAAAATTATTGCTTTGCAATCCTTCCTCATCTTCATCAACCCCTACCTCTTGAACATATTTCTATCGTCTTCATAACAAATATCAGACCTACTACATTTACATAAATACTCAATGTTAAATTAGGCTGACTTCAGACCAACACTGCGGGCACAAATTGAAACACAGCCTTTCAATTTATGCTAAAGAAACTATGCATGCCAAACTTTCACAAAGAGCAATGATCACCTTTTCAACCCACACGTCGTTCCGGCGATACTGCTTTCAACACATTTTAAATGAAAAATTTTAATGAAAAATTTAATCTTTTTTTTCTCAAACAACGTGTTAAAAAAGTTCTTAACTTCAACAAGACTAACGTAACCATGAAAAATTCCATTGCAAGGAACGATGACTTCTTCATGAATCCCAGCGTTTAAACGTTCTGAATTTTAACGAAACTGACCCTCAAAAGTATCAGCGCAACAAACGATGACTTCTTCATCGATCCCAGCGTTTAAACGTTCATAATTTTAACAAAACTCATCGTCAGAAATTTCATTACAAGGAACGATGAGTTCTTCATGAGTCGCAGCGTTTAAAGGTTCAAATTTTTAACAAAACTCAGCCTGAGAAATTTCATGGCATCAAACGATTATTTTTTCTTCATTCCCAACGTTTAAACACTCGGTGTTTAAAGCAAAAAACACGTTGATATTTTTTAAACGCTGTGTGTTCATAAATAGCTGTGAAGCTGGCGTTTAAACGTTTCAAATTAGTGAATTAAAGACGATATATATATTAAGCGGAAAAGACGGTGAATTTTCTTCTATTTGCAGCGTTAACGCGGTTAGCACTGATTAATAAAAGAATGATACGAAATATTGTATAGGGAAACGCGAGGAATTGATAGTTTCTGTTGGTTTACACGCGTGTGGAATTTTCTGTGCGTTTACACGGTGATAAAACTGAGTTTCATGGCGTTTACACGGCTTTAAAGGTTGAATACAGATAAAGTTGGAGGCTACACGCATGATAATTCAGTATTTATGGCGTTTAAGCGACCACTTTTTTCCACACGCGTTTAAACACCCAGAAAAGGCTACTTTACGGTGTTTACACGCGTGTTTGAGAAAGTTTGTCTGCTTGGTTTGCAGATGAGACAATCAGTAGGCATTTTCTCAGGAAA